GAATATAGCAGTTGTTATCAAATAGTCTGTTTCTATGTATGTTGGAGTTGGTTTTTGTAGCAGTTCAGTGTTTATGTTGTTCTGTTGTTTTCCTCTTATAGTTGATGTGTTTCCCTCGGTTTTGGTTTGTGACCCGGATTTGTTTCAGTTAAATCGATTTATGACTATTGAACAGCGGTATACTACTGTTGCCTTTATTGGAATTGTACTTACATTTTTTTTATAATATGTTTGCATTAGAATAATTAAACGAAAGCCTAATACTAAGAAAAATAATTATAACAAATAGGTTATTACACTGTTACGGGTTTTTGTTGACAAATTAACCTACAAATTATCAGGTGTTACAGTTTATCAGCTCTCCGTTTATCATCTTAATCTGAGCATGCTTAAAACGAAGACATGGTAGACACAAAAGAAGAAAAGTGAGTTGTAGGTCACTAAAACTCGCGTTTACAGTATAGTACGTAGTAGTCCATCATGCATTGCAACTCATTCAATGGATTGGTCAATTCTCTAAAGCAACAAATATTGCTTATTATGCAAACAAACAATTATATTGGCGGGAACGTTAGTATGCCAATGCAGGTGTATCCATAAATGGTAGTGTACCCGACATGATTAAATGTATTTATGTTTCGGAGCGATACACTATTTTTATAGCGGTCCTCAATTATTCAGAAAAAAACAGGTGAAAAAACTAATTAATTTCAATTAAGAATTAGGGACAAAAAGAAATACAATACAGAGATTAAACAATATTCTTCCTGTATGTTCATTAGAAACGAACCAATGCCACCCCTCAATAAATTAAATTAAATTAGAAAATAAGACAAGCACACTCAGAACAAATGAGTGGTATCGGCATAATCTTGAATTCAGGAATCCGATTCTGCAACCAATCATGGGTTTTTATCACGTAAAGTGGTTAGCAGATAAGTTCCATTTTCCCATACATCAAATTATAATGTATTGTTCTAGATAATTTTCAAGACCTAGTCCGAATGCTGAATCAGTCAGTAGAACGTCGGACCAACTAATTTGAATTATAGCTTTCCAGTATATAAATTTAATCAACAATTACTTATATTTAGATATTGAATTTAAAGGTTCCTATTTCATAGAGTAAATGCAAATTGTATTAAGCTAGGTCCAAATGTAGCTTTTTACTGTCCTATATCTTGCGAAAGTACGAAATAGACCGTACGAAAATATATTTAATTTATTTGTTTTAATTGTACCACGATTTAATGTTCACTATGCGCTCGTTCTAAAAATAAATACTTTTAAACAAGATAAAAGTTGAAAGATACGAAGAGCCAGTACAAGTTTTAGGAACGACAATTGTTAAATCGCTTTGAAGTCCGAAAAGGTCATTGCAAACACATTCATTACTACATTTAAAGCTTTTTAAATTTTATTTTAATGTTTATAGAACGTGCGATATGATAAATAATTTGGTTATCGATTATCGGTGAAGAATGTCAAAATATTCAATGTTAATCTTTTCTCCTGTAGTATTTTTTGTTTCGAGTTATTTGTTTTCAGGCGTTGGGAATCCTTTGGCCACCCCGTACGTTTAAATGTCTCTTGTAAAAAACAACGTATTAAGTGGGCGTAATAGACAAACGGTTACCTGATCCGACCCAGTCAGTTGGTGAACTGAGAGCACCAACGAATGGTCTTGTCAACACTGTTATGAATTTGATAATATTTTTGTTATAATCATGAGAACTATACTGGAAGTGTATTCAGTGGGAACATAATCACGGCCGTCACTCGGCTAACCGAGAGATTGGTCAGTTAATCTATATTGAGTATGCGGCTATATCGGCGGTTGGTCTGTTAATTGGGTTGGCTAAAGTCTGTTAATCAGGTGTTATCGAGAAAATACTTGCAAGTTCAGTATGTTTCATTGTATAACTTTTTAAATCTATTTTTTATCATAAAATTTATTCATGTCTGACAAAACAATTCAATGTAGTGAATCCAGTGGTGTAATTATTTTTTTTCTAGCTTCGATAAACAATCAATAAAATGAAAAAGCGGGTTACTCATCAATAAATTTATACACATTTTACACACACAAAATGTACACAAAATGACAACTTGGCTGAATTTACTTGCATGCAATATTTTGAACATCGAAAAAAGACAGGCATTATGTTTGTTAACCATATCAATATCATTGTGTGAAAAATCTACACGAAAATCTGTACTATGGTGATATTAATCAAAACCTGGTCTGTTAATGGGTCGGATGTATAAAACCCGGTCTGTTATTTGGTCTGTTAAGAGTTATGAATGGCAATGAAAATATAAATTGATTGCTTTATGGGGAGTTATCGGATCAAATGGGTAGGCTCAAGACGAGTGGCTATAATATACGGAAACAACACATGAATAATGAAAAATAAATTTAGACAATGGAAATTGGAAATTGATAAAAATGGTTTCAAAAAGTGTAATATTAGAGTAATATTAATTTCATTCAAGAATGGTCGCATATATCATGTGAATTCTGTTTCGTTGTTATGAATAACACCAATTTGTCATCTACATTGGTAACCAGTATATACATCATTTTTATAGTTCGTTCTTATGTTGTACTGTTATACCACTGTCCTAGGTTAGGGGAGGTTTGGTATCCCGCTAACATGTTTAACCCCTCCACATTATGTATGTATATGCCTGTCCCAAGTCAGGAGCCTGTAAATCAGTGGTTGTCGTTTGTTTATGTGTTACATATTTGTTTTTCGTTCATTTTTTTTTTATATATAAATAAGTCCGTTAGTTTTCTCGTTTGAATTGTTTTACATTGTCATTTCGGGGCCTTTTATAGCTGACTATGCGGTATAGGCTTTGCTCATTGTTGAAGGCCGTACGGTGACCTATAGTTGTTCATTTCTGTGTCATTTTGGTCTCTTGTGGAGAGTTGTCTCATTGGCAATCATACCACATCTGCTTTTTTATATCAGAGATAAACGTCGTAATGTAACTAAACATCAGTAAATAAAATATATTGGGATGCTAGAATTTAAAGAATAGAGAAAGAATAATGAGAAAAATAAATAAAATGTAGAGAAAAGTGAAATAACAATTAAAGAATACAGAAATAAACAACACCCCCAATCCGGACCCTCATGGTATACACGAGAATCTGGATGGAGACGCAGAATATAGAATAATAGATAAGGACAGTAGAGAGTGATGCATTGCTAAAAAAGAGAGAAAAATAACAATTGTTTAAGAATACAGACATGAAACAACCCTTTTTACTATTTACACTCTCCAAGATGATTGTTAAAACAATTTTGGCATTTATTATTCCTTATTTTTAAATTAATAGTATAGACAACGATATCTATATAGATGCTTTGCATTTATTTTACTGTATATCACTGTATGTTATTTGAGACTGGGGTCCGATAAACATTGGCCTCCTGTCAACCGCTGAATCTGATAGCTCAGTAAATATTGTAAAGTGCAAACAAAACAAAATTTCAGGGGGAGGGGGTGGTTGAAACAGTAACGGATTGCGATGTACTCAAATTGGTGACAAATGCTAGAATTTTACAAGCGCACAACTGCAGTTCTTCTCTGCACTTATGTAGAAAGGAACTAAACGGAATAAAATGAATTAAAACTTAAGATAATCAAATGTAGCTGCATTCGCTTCTTTCCATTTACCTCTTTAGAATGTTTTGTAAACAGCATATGATTAAGTAATAGAACAAAAGAACCAATTGGATGATGCTGACGAATTAGGGTTTAACGTCCAGTGGCAAATATCATGTCCATATGAGAACGACAACACGTTATATGTACCCGGTGTTGTATAAGACAGACACTTTCAGTCGGATTTTTGAACGTGCTTCTTTGAACAGACACAAAAATCAAGGCTGATTGAAAACGTTAATAATAAATTCATGCATATTCCAGCGGCCAATCCATATCACGCTATATTGCAGTGACACACCTTTCAATAAAATGCAAAGAAAGTCAAAATAAAAATGCTCTTACTACAAGGATACTGTTGCACCGTATTGTCATTTTTATTAATCAAGTACATCTCATTCTTAACTTTTTAATGGGGAATTATAAAGGTAGCAAAACTATTGTCGTGGTTAAATAACTCTTCACTGACACAATTTTAATTGTCCAACCCATTAACAGACTTAATTCCCCTAATAGTCACTAAAACGTGGTATTACTCACGTTATATTACAATTATGAAATATTTACTAATGTCAATTTATTTTTTAGAACCAAAGTACTATTTTGTGTCCTTTAAATGATATCTAAAATTGTTTGTTTCGCCTTTTATTAAAACAATTGCTATGCGTATAAGTATAAATACCACATACTTGTGCGACGCCTTTTAGTTTTACTGAAGTTTGCGCAGACTATGAAATGTTTTTACATGTGGAAAATGTTCTATGATAGATATCATTTTGTCAGACACTTTTCTTTTTTCTATTTGGTTCTTATAATATGCCAAAAATCTGTATATTTAACAGAGTTGAACATTTAAATTGTGCGTTTTACTCTTAACAGACGTATAACCGACCCGATTAACAGACCAACCGCCCATATAGCCGCATACTCAATATAGATTAATCGACCAATCTCTCGGTTAGCCGAGTGTCGGCCGTGATAATGGGTATTGGAAGTGTATCTAGGAGGAAAATAGAGAACAAAAGTGTTACCAGTTGTAACTTAACAAAAAACGCATGCGAAACCAGAATCTTTTTCCCTACAATATTCCTTTCGTTTGACACTTTTCGTGTCAATGATATACAAAGAAACACAAATTCAATATATTAATATGAAAAGGCAGCATTTATGTATAGGTGTTAGTTATTTCACAACACGGACATATTTTAAAAATGAAAGCCCCAAAGTCATTGTTATTGACAGACTATAGTTACATTTTATCGAGGTTACGCAAACAATTTACTACTTCCTCTATGCTATTTACATTACTTAAATCATGTGAGTGATCTGAAGATATTTAGATAGGTGTAGAATTCGCACATAAGCGCATCACGTGAATTAAAAATGGTACCCATATCTTCTTCCTTGTTACACATATTACATGCATCGTTTCTATTATAGACAAAATGAACCTATTACAGTTTTTGGCAACATCTTTCTTTTTGGAGATGGTTTCTCATTTGGTGAGGGGACATTCAACTATAAGTATTCAAAACAGTGCATTTGTATCAAACAAAAATGAGGAAGGATGTGTTAATTATGGAACAGTTTATCCACAAAATGATCGTGTAAATGAAGATTGTGAAGTGACCATAAACAAAATGGATATACATGATTTCGTTAATAAAATGCGAGCACAAGAATATAAAATAAGTCTGCTTAAAATAAACTTAAATGTTTCAGAGGACATTAAATTAAAGGTAAATCAAACTAGTACTAGATGTACAATTTCGCCCTTTGAGTGGATATGGACATTTAAAGGTAAAAACGGTGGATTTCAGTATTTGTCTTTGATGAAGGAATTTTCCTACTATTCACTAAGCTTGCTTAACCACTACACTATATCTATGACATTCAATCTAAATTTAACAGGAAATTGTTATTTGAGAATTGGAGACAGAAATACTACCGAGCGGTTAGGATTAGCCTTTTTACAAGTTTTCAATCAGTCATTTCAACATGTCAATGATATCGGATTACGGTATGGATATATTTGTTATTTAAGTAGGACATACTTGGAACATATCATTTACATGTTCAGTAAATATATCATAAGTTCTAAGCAAAGTATGGGTTACCGCTGCTGCCGAAATGCTTTCAATAAAACTACCCACGAAGACACAATATCGTGCACGAGTGACACAGTCATGATTGATAGTGGTTTGTGGTGGAATTTTCCTTATGTAATGGGTTGGCTTTTGTTCCTTTTCCTGCCTTTATTATTTTTACAGTGCTCTGAATATAAAAATAAAAATGTCAACGTCGGTCATGGAAAATGGCTACTATCAAATCCAGTATCATTCGGTACCGTACTGAGAAATCCTTTTAACCGTGCTTATGCCTCGGGAAATATTTGTTCGAGACTGTTGAAAATCATTTGTATTCTCTTAACTTCGCTGTTCGTTATTTTGGAAGTACTGTCGTATTATTATTTCATGAATGACTTTGTCGTCAGCAGCACTAAGGCAGAAGTTCCATTTAATTGGATCACTATGGCTGCTGGATATTCATTGAGTATGGACAGTTTTCTGCCGTGTTTTGGAGGCCCGTATATTGCACTTGGGTTGTATTACATTTCAAGTGCCTTTCTGCTATGTCTTCCAACTGACTTGAGTAAGTTCGTGGATAAAGGAATAGACGATAAAGCAGAGATGTTTATGTCTTTATTAACTGTTGATATGAGTACGAAAGGTAAATTAGGAGCTATATTGAATATCCGCAGACAAGCAGGATATACACGACTTAATTCGGTTCTTAGAGCGAATATTTACATGCTGATCAATCCGACATTTTGGGATATTGGGTTCCAGATTCAAAAAAGGAGATTTAATGGATTCATCCAGGTATTGACAAGAAATAGAATATTATGTAAATTAGTTCTAACTGCTGTTCTGGTTCCAGTTTATTTTTGTATATGCATTATTGAATGGGTGCTAGCAATATTTATGTACGGTTTGCCTGTCGTCGGATTTTTCTTTATAATTTTAAATGGATATTATAATACTATAAGGGAAATAAACACAAGGAGGACCGGTACAGCTAGCTTTGTTTTAGGCATAACAATAATTGTACTGATGTCCGTATGTGTTACATATGACATTTACATTTTCTCACTACTTTTTATTGATAGTTTTATCTTTTTATGTCGGATTTGTACGTACTCTTTCGCTGGACTTATTGCCTATCCGGACATTACTTACGGCTACCTAGTGTTCACGATAACAGTTATGATATATGTTACCGAATGCATACAACACGTGAATGCTGTGTATACATACCTTTTTGAAACGGTAAAGAACATCTGTATAAAAATTAAGAAAGAAAAACACATCCATGCCGTTCCATTGATTAGTTGTAATGGATGTACGACCTCTGTATCCAAGCTTTTATTTCGATATGTCGTTCGATACTACAGACCCTTAAGGATTGAAATACTTTTTTCCTGCCTGAAACTGACTTTCATTGTTATTATTCTTTATATGTCAATTTCAATTCTTCTCACATTTAAAGAACTAAGTAAAATGTCGACACTCACGCAAGCTATAACAGCTCTTTTCATTTGTTTAATTCCAAAATTGTGGCACATGTTTGAGGAAAAGGGAGAAAAATATAAAGAAGAGACCAAAATTGCCGAAATTAAGAATATAATTGAACAGTATTGCAGATGTTACATTCATAAACGAACTCCTACAAACATTCAGGATGATAGTTCTATCGTAGATGATATGGAACATGACACAAGCAACAATACATCATCAGATGACGAACTCTTACAGCATTTACTTCTTGATGTAGACATCGAATGATCAGAATTTACTATTTAGTAACCAAAATTGTAAATAAAAAATAATAAATAAACTCATAATACAAACTATGAGTAATTCATGAGTGAAGAAACAAATATGAGCATTTACACTTTTGAATTAATTTGTCTTATACGATTAAGGTTTTCACAATAACTATTGCACTGCAAGAAAAACGTCCAAAGCAGAAGCAACAGTAGTAAACCTATGTTCAAATCTCATGAATCCATTACAAAGATACAATTCCAGGGGGAAAACTAAAATTTAAATTGCATGTACATCCAAAAAGAGCACAAAACAACCGTTCTTTTTTGCTAAAAACGTATAACAAAATAACGAAACTCTAACATAAATTCAAAAAGAAAAAGTCCATTCAAACTGACAAAATCAAACGTAAGACTTTACCAACCAACGGAACGAATGGAAAACAACTGTCATATTATAAAAGATTTGCCAGTGGAGTATCTATTTTGAGTAAGGTTGTTGGTCATATATAGTTTTATCAAAAATATATAAGAAATGATCCAATTTTGACATACTTATGACGTCACAGTGACATCACAACTGGCATGCCTTCATTACTGTATCCAGATTATATTTTAATTTTCATTCATCAATAAAATCAGCTCTTTATTTTGAATGATTTTGAACTTAGCAATTTTCGTAACGGCTAATAACACACCATAATCTTATATCTGAAACCCCATATAATCTCTTAAAGTATTACATAAATATATACCTTTGAAAGAAATGTATATTTCAATGTTTTTTTGTTACTTATCCCTGTTATATAGTTTGCGATATGATCTCTTAAGTAATTTTCTTAGACAACGCATGCAACTATTTCTGGTAGAGTTACCGATAGATTTTGTTGTCTGTTAACGTAAGGCTACCCAAATTGCACCTATTTTGACAGTTTTTCACCTACGTTTATTCAAGACCCAGACAAAAGATTCCATTCTGTGTTTAGTTGGTAGATGTATCCCTAATTACTATTTTATTCCACAAATTTGATTTAAAATACATACTGAATCATAGAAAAATAGGTTTGAACCGACCTCCAAATGACCCACGATTCTGTAATGAGGAGTACCTAAATTGCATAAATGCTTAAATTCACATTCATAAAAAGCGAATAACTCATGTTTTGTTTTAATTCTCCAAATTTTTAGAACAATTTGGCATTAGTCAATGCTTACTATTCATTTTGTAAGAAATAGATGCACTTTGGGTAAAGCAAGGAAATAATAAATTCATATGATGTAATTTCAAAAACATAATATGGTTCAATTCAATTTCTGGAAACACAATTTCCTCGACATAATGAAAAATAAACCCGATTTTTGCAAGGTTTTAATGTAGTACGTTTAAATTACGATCATTTATAAATATACGATTATTGTTGTATAAAAATTTGCCGTTATCAAATTTCGAAATCATTTAAATAATTGAATGTATCCCCCTCAAGCATGGCTCTGATTCCTTGTCGGTGTTTGGGTTTACATTTGGTCCTTTTTGGTTTTGTCTGCTTTTCAACTTTGCTATAAGTTTTGAAATTTCAAATTATTCGGCCTTGAGCATCAACGAAGAGACTTTAATTGTCGGCATGTGCATCAGACACTATAAAAGTTGCACTGTTAATTTATTACTAGCACTGGGTCGATATCGTTGCAGGTGGGCTGTTAGTCCCCACAGTCATCACCAGCCAAGTAGCCAGTACTTCGGTACTGGCATGAAAATAAGGATATATTGTGGTATTCAAATCTGCTGTTATCAATTTTGAAATCATTTAAATTAAGGAATGTATCTCCCTCAAGCATACATCTTATTCCTTGTCCGAATTTGGCTTTGCTTTTGGTCCTTTTAACTCATTTAGCCGAAAGGCCAAGTGACCTTTCTCCTCACTAGGCGTCCGTCGTCGTTAACTTTTACAAAAATCTTCTCCTCTGAAACTACTGGGCCAAATTTAACCAAACTTGGTCACAATCATCATTAGGGTATATAGTTTTTAAAATGTGTATATTGAACTCGCTTACCAACCAACATGGCCATCATGGCAAAAAAAATTAACATATGGGGTAAATTGCAAGTTTTGTCTATTATCTTTATAACCGCTATGAAGAGAGAAAATCTGACAGGGGCAGAAATGTTCCGAATGTTAAGATCTACATGCTGTCCATTTTACATCAACACTGTCAGACGACTTTTTATAGGAGTAACTGCCCTTAAATGTCAAATTTTACAGATTTTGTTTTTCATTTTTGCCTATTATTTTCAAAATTATGATAGAAGGAAAGAAACTATATTTAGGAAAAATGATCAGACAGACAAAATCTACAAATAAGTCAACATGACCAAATTATCAGAAGACTTCTTATTGGAGTAATTGCCCTTTTATTGCGAATTCTACCATTTTTTGCGTATTTGGTTAATATCTTACAAAAATGCTCTCCTATGAAACTACTGGGCCAAATTTTTTCAAACTTGGTCATAATCATAATTAGGGTATAGATTTAAAAATGTGTCCGATGATTCTGTCTGCAAACAAACATGGCCGTCATAGCTTAACATAGGACATACAGGTAAAATTGAAGTTTTGGCTATTATCTTGAAAACCGCTATAAATTGAGAAAATTTGACAAAGGCAAAAATGTTTAAAATGTTAAGATCTACCTGTTGTCCATTTACGTCATAACTGTCAGACGACTTTATAGAAGTTATTGCCCTTAAATGTAAAAATTTACCTTTTTTTTCATTTTTGCTGATTATTTTGAAAACTATAATAGATAGAAAGAATATTTAAAAGGAAAAAGTGATCAGCAAGACAAGATCTACAAATGAGCCAACATTGCTGAAATCGTCAGGGGATTCCTTATTTGAGTTATTTCTCTTTAATCACGATTTTTACATTTCTTTTGCGCTTTTGCCTAATATCTTAAATACTGTAATAGATAGATAGAAACTTTAAACAGCCAAAATGATCAACAAAACAAGATCTATAAACAAGTCTACATGACCGAAATCTTCAATCGACTCCTTATTGAATTAATGCCCTAGAATGATGATTTTTTTCCAATTTTTAGCAGTTTTGCCTTTTATCTTGAAATTTATAATAGAAAGATAGAAACTTTAAATAGCAAAAATTATCTGCAAGACTAGATCTACTAATAAGTCACCATGGCTGTAATCTTCAGTCGACTCGTGATTGGAGCTGTTGCCCTTTAAAGATGATTTTGCCATTTTATTTAGTGGTTGCCTATTATCATGAAAAGAACAATAGATACAAATGTAGAAAGAAAAAGTTTTGAAAAGCAGGACACGATCTACGAATCGTCAACATGATTGAAATGGTCACTTAACTATTTGTAGAATTGTTGCCCTTTCATCATGATTTTTACCCAAAAAATGGCAAGTGTTTAAGATGCAGTCGAGTAACACAGGCTCTTTAGAGCCTCTAGTTTATTTTTTCAGATCTTCAACTTTGATATTGGTAATATTTTGCAATATTTAATAAAGTTTTATATGTTAAAAGAGTTTCGAAATTTTTTGATGATTCAATAAAATATGACAAGGAAGGAAACGCCTAATTTAATTAATACTGCATATATTTTACACTTAATCACTTAATTGAATCAATCATGATATATTCAAAAACAGGATTTTGACAATCAAGTTCAAAAGTTTTTGTCTGTTTTAGCTTATTTAACATTAGAAATTGACGAGTTTTGCTGTTGTTTATGTTTTCTCTAATCTGATAAACATTAAGTTATGTCACAGATATACACGATAGGAAAAACATAATTGAATTGATTCTGCATATAGTTTTACACTTGAAACAATTTTGAAACATTTCCGTGTCACGTAAGTCTTTTTCTTATGACATTGAAGTTATAATATTTCTTTAAATGACTATGATACTATTATTTGAAACGTACTCCTGAGCAACAGAGATACCAACACAATATGAAATTCAGATTTCAGAAACAGGGTTTTGATAACTGTTGTGGTGAAAATAACTTATTCAATTCATCTTTGAAAAAAATATTTTTGTAACTGTTAATTTTGAAAGAATTACGCGTTTGTCTCTCAGTATTATCCTTTGTGGACGTGTTTGTGTTGAATGGTTTTATTCTTCACATCTACTGACAGAATATTTGAAAGGTATACTTTTTCAAACTTCATTGTAGACAGAGTTCGTGCCAATTAATTAGCTCTCCTTTTTTATTGCCAATTCACTGGTAAATTATTTTGTCAGATCGTCCTATTATGATGATGCTCTATGGTTGTCTTAGTATGCTTATCGTTGTATAGAGATGATTATCGGTTTTATTGAATTGTCACTTAAAACAGAAACAAAACGCATTAATTTTCTAAACTCAGTAATATTAATACTACATGATCTTACCAGATGTGTGATGAAGTATCTTTTTCATGTCCTCTTTATGATAGAAGTAAAATCTTCAGAGCTTATAAAGCTTGAAACTAAGCTTTATACAGACCAGAGGATTTTCCTTATATCTTAAAAATTATGAATAGATAGATAGAAACTTAAATAAGCAAAAATGATCAGCAAGACAAGATCTACAATAAAGACAATATGGAGGAAATCGTCCGACGTCTCCTTATTGGAGTTATTGCCCTTTAAAGACGATTTTCACCTTTTTTTTGTTGTGTTTTGCCGTAAATGGTAAAAAATTATAATTGATGAATAGACACTTTAAATCACAAAAATTATCAGCAAGGCAAGATCTTCTAACAAGTCAAATTTTGCCGATATAGTTAGTAGACTGTCACTCTTTATAGGAGTGATTGCCCTGAAATGAGGATTTTGTTTACCCTCTTTTGTGTTTTGAGCAAGGAAACTAAGAAGAGAAACTAAACAGACAAAATGATCAGCAATACAAGATCAACAAAACAGAGATTTTTGTCATGAATTCTATTCTAGTCTACAATGTTGGAAAGTGTCCTTTGTTAAATATGCACATAGGCCAAAGTTAACGACGCAATCTCTTTAGAGCCTCTAGCTTAGTGGACTATTATTTGTCTCATTTCAATGGCGTTGTCTGTC